CAGAATCATAGAATTTCAAAATCTCAAAATTCTGAAAATTCCCATTTTCAGCCCAAATCATAGCCTCAAAAGAAAAGTATCTGCCCGCGACGTGTTTTCTCCGAAACTACACGACCAGGAATCCATCTCGAAACAAGGTGGATGGTTCCGACGATTCTGTTAAAGATGAGCAATCCGATCAATCCACTGATAACGAAGCGCCCCCGCCAGCACTGAAAAAAACTAAATCAACCAGGAAAAAATTGGATGATTTGGCGACGACGAAAATTGCGAAAATTTCCCCGAAAAAAGCGCGGAAAAGGAGAATAACGGAGGATTCAGAAGAAGATTCAGATGACGACGACGACGACGATGTTGGAAAAATGATTCTGGAGAGTAGCGATGAGGTTTCGAGTGAGGATTTTGAGGATTCTGAAGGATCTGGCGACGAAGATATGAGCAATTATTTTTTGAATCAACGAGCAGGACCTCCAGAAGAGCAAGAGGAGGAAGAAGAGGCTCCAGAAGCATCGTCAGGGGTTCCAGAAGAGCCCGAAGAGCCCGAGAAGCAAAGAGAGCGACCCAGTGGTTTTTCGATTGATTCGATTTTGGGTTCAAAATAGATTTTTCCTGTAATTTTGAGCCCAAAAAGTTGAATTTTCATGTATTTTTAACCCCAAACTGACCCTTTTTCATGTAATTTTGACCCAAAATGACCCGAAAATTCGGATTTTTCAATAAACGGTTGACCCAATTTTTGAGCCCATTTTAACACCTTAAAATGACCCATTTTGCTCTAAAATTGTGTATTTTTTTTCTGTAATTTTGACTCAAAAATTACCCATTTTTTGCTGAAAAATTGGATTGTTTTTGTTATTTTTGACTCCACAAAATTAGGATTTTTTCCAATAAAATGACCAATTTTTCATAATTTTTTGGCAATTTTCCCCGTTTTTTAAATGAAAATTTGACTCATTTTGACCAAAATTTTCTTGAATTTTTCATATTTTTTTTCATTTTGGACCCTAAAATGATCTTCAATTATCATTAAAATTTGAAAAATTTCGAAAAAAAACATTTTTTTTAGAATTTCAAAATTTTCAAGAAAATTTGTTGAAAAATTACAAAAAATGATTTTTTTTCTCCGAAATTTTGAATTTTTCCCCTTTTTGTCTCATGAATTTCTCAATTCGACCCATTTGAAATCTATGCCGTTTTAGAACTTTTCTCTTTCCCTCTCCCCTATAGGGGATATCGATATCTGAAACGCACTCAATCGATAATTATCAATAGAGCGCGCTTTCGCTTTTCTCCATTTTTTTATTTGTAAATTTGAATTCCCGCATTTTTTTTCGTAAATGTAAATTTTGACTTTTCTGAAAATCAATGAAACTAACTTCTTGATGTCTCGAGCGATCGCCTGGCGATCGCTGGATTTCAAATCTTCGGCTCCCGGAAATTTGCCACGTGTCATCGAATCCAAATCGACGGATTCATCGACTTCGTAGATCTTACTTGTGTTTTGTCCCATTTTTTTACTGAAATTCTTCAAATTTTTACTGAAATCGAATTTCGAAAATTTCAGATTTTTTTTCTGAAAAAAATCAATAAATTTCAAAGAGAAATTTGTTTAATTTTGAATTTTTTAAGAATATTTTCGCGATTTTTTAGAATTTCAGCATTTTTTCCTAAAAATTTAGAATTTTCAAAAAAAAATAATTTCAGAAAAATCGATTTTTTTCTGAAAAATATTTAAGTTTTTAAAGTTTTTTTTTCAGTTTTTCATGTTTTTTCGTGACTCTCATCATTTTCGCTCTAACGCACACTTGCTGATTTTCAAATTCGCGTCTGCCAGATTCTCAATAGAGCGCACTTACGTCTTCAGCTTATACGGTCGCTCCACTGGCTCATTCAACCAAATGCTACCGATATTAAATGGTCTTGACACAATTTTCGAAACCCCCTTCGAATTTTTGTATTCCAACAGTCCCACAAAAATTTCCGACTCGAAGAAATTGGCGAATTCGTCGAAAAACGACGAAAATCGCGTTGGAATCAGAAATTCGTCCCATTCCAGAAAGGCGATGAAGCTCGCGGAGCTCTGAAAAAAAATTTTTGCAATTTTTTTTTCGAAAATTCGCAATGGAGCACAGTTACTTATGGCGCGTCCAAAGTTCCCAAATCTGGGATTTCTGGCCCCCAGAAAACAGTCCAAAGTGACGCCCAGATTCCCAAGATTTCCTGTAATTTCTTATTGAATCAAGAATATGCAGAAAAGCATGTAGATTCACATAAAAATAAATAAATTTTCAAAAAAAAGTTCCTTCATCGAGAAAAAAGCCAGGGATCTCATCCGAAAAAAAAGAATAACTTTCCGATGCGTTTGTCTCGATGAAGGAACTTTTTTTTGAAAATTTATTTATTTTTATGTGAATCTACATGCTTTTCTGCATATTTTGATTCAATAAGAAATTACATTATCGCATTGGTTCAAATTTTGCTCAATTGGAAATCTTGGGAATCTGGGCGTCACTTTGGACCAGGGCTGGGCGAGCAATCGGCTTTCGTGGGAAACGAAATGCAAAACACACGCATTTCGCGAAAAAAGTGGGCGGAGCCTCGGCACACACAAAGTATAGTGGACGGCGGAACCCGGGAAGTGTCGGCCGCTGCGAAGAATGACTACCCGGCGGCGCGTAGTTGAAAAATAAATCAAATTTCAAATTCCCGCCAGTTTCATGTCGAGACCTGTCGGCGAAATTGCGTGCGCCTTTAATCTCGTTTTGCGCAACAAGAGCGGGAAATTTGCAAAACGTGAAGGTTTTTCTTCCGTCCTCGCCCACCCCTGCTTTGGACTGTTTTCTGGGCCCAGAAATCCCAGATTTGGGAACTTTGGAAGCGTCATTACCTTGTACTTGCTTAGGCAGTCCGAGCTGGCTACCGTAATCCCGCCGAATTCGATTTCGTCCAATTGGGAGTTCCCGAAAAAATCGGGAAATGGGCTGACCGAAATTCCAGTGTGCTGCTTTAGCTCTTCCAATAGATCGAAAAACGCGGGTTTCGAATTGGAGAGATAGAGTTGGAGATGGCCATTGAATCTGGAGAATATTGGAAATCCAGGAATTCCGAAAATTGGGAATCTGGGATTCTTGAAGTTTTGTAATTCAGAAATCCCGAAGTCTTGGAAATCAATAAATTTGGAATGAATCAGGATTTTCAGAATTTCAGAAAGTTGGGAATCTGAAAAATCTGATTATCCCGAAATCCGGAAAATTAAAGAATTCTAAGAATCGAAAATCTGGAAAATCCGAAAATCCAGAGATTCAGAATTTCGGAGTTTCAGAAAGGTATGAATCTGAACAACCGTATATCCAGGAATTCAAAATTCCGAAGATTCAGAAACCCGGATGTCCGGAACTTCAAGTTCCAGGAATCCGGAAACCAAGGAACTCAAAAATTTGGAATATCCGAAATTCAGTTTCGGAGAAGTTTGAGAATTCAAAATTTAGTAACTCAGAAATTCAAAAAAATTGAAGATCCAGGAGTTGAATTTCAGCGATTCAGATATTCCGAAGTTTTGAAAATTGAAACCCAGAAATTCAGGAACTCGAAAATTCGGAAATTCAGAATTATATTTAGATTTTCAGAATTTCCAAAGTTCCGAATTTCAGAATTTCAGAACGTTCGAACTTCAAAATTTCAGAATTCCAGAATCCCAGAATTCCAGAATTTCAGAACTTCAGAATTCCAGAACTCCAGAAATTCAGAATTTCAGAATTCCAGAATTCCAGAATGTGAAAATTGAAAAATGAAAAAACTACGAATTCTAAAATTCTACAAATTCAGAGTTCCCAATATTTGAAGATTTTCTGAAATTCTAGATAAATCAAATATAGCAAAATACAGGAATTCTAAGATTTTGAATTTCTAGAATTTGGAGAAGTTTGAGAATTCAAAATTCAGTAACTCAGAAATTCAAAAAATTGAAGATCCAGGAGTTGAATTTCAGCGATTCGGATATTCCGAAATCTTGAAAATTGAAACCTAGAAATCCAGGAACTCGAAAATTCGGAAATTCAGATGTTCAGATTCTAAGAATCGAAACCTCGAAAACTCAGAAATCTAGAATTTCGGGAATTCGGAAATCCATAAATCGGATATTTGGAATTCTGGAATTTTGTAGATCTGGAAATCCGGAAATCTAGTAATTCAGAAATTCAGAATTTCAGAAAGTTAGGAATCTGAAAAATCCTATATCCCGAAATCCGGAATTTCGAATTCCAGAAATCTGGAAATATCGAAAATCTGGAAATTCAGAAATTCTAAAAATTGAGAATCCTAAAAAACGGAGGAGTTCAGAATTTTGATAATTCCGAAGAATCCAATATACGGAAATTGGGAAATCGAGAAATCTGGAAAGTTCAAAAATGTAGTTTTCCGGAAATCCGGAAATCTGTAATTCAAAAATTCGGAATTCTGGAGATTTACCGATTTGAAGATCCGGAAATTCAAAATTCGGAATTTCAAAAAGTTAGGAGTCTGAAGAATTCCAGATCCCGAAATCCGGAATTTCGAATTCCAGGAATCCGGGAGTTCAGAAATTCCGAAAATTGAGAATCTGGAAGAATCCAGAAGTCTAGGTTTTCCGGAAGTCCAAGTTGTGAAAACCCAAAAAATCTGGAATTTCCGAAATCCGGAATTACGAATTTCAGGAATCTGGAAAACTCGAAAATTCAAAAATTCGGAATCTAGGATTTTGAAAATTCCGGGAATCTGGAATTCTAGAATTTCCAGAATATAGTAATCGGAAATATCTGAAATTGAGATTTCCGAATATTCTGAAATCTAAAAACAGAGGAACCTAACATTCCAGACAGTAAGACATTTGAAAATCTAGACCCTAGCTTTCCAGGAAAGCCAAATTCCTGAAAACCTATAAAAGTACAGTACTCCACACGCACCTCGCATAAATATGAGCAATCAAAAGAATGCTCTGCCATCGGACATTATTATAAATCGGCGGCGTACACACGACCAAATCTCGTTGCTTGTTGTCCGCAGGCAGGTACCGTATCCCAGCGATATTCTTGTTCACCAGAATCTCCAAATCCATCAAATCGTCCTTGAGGGTTACTGTACCCGTGATGGTCACAAATTTACAAATATTGTGCGGTGTAGCTCGATGAACTTTCATTGGCTCTAAAACGGAATTCGAACCGTTGCTTCGGATGACAATGATCTTCCGACGGTCCCAATGAGCATCTCGTGGAGCTAGGAAGGTTAGGGACACTTGGTTTTCGTAGAAACTGAAATTATGGGGTTGTTAAGATCTGGGGTTTTTAGATTCTGCGGATTCTTAGGATTCTTAGATTCTTAGATCCCCGAACTTTGAAGTTAAAAAAGATCCCAGAACTTTGAAGTTAAAAAAAAAAGCCAACTTTCTGAAAACCAGGAATCCAGAAATCTAAAAATCCTAGAAATCAATCAGTTTGGAAAAGCAAAGTTCCAGTTATCTAGAAATTCATAATTCTCAATTTCCAAAAAAAAAGTCAAGTTTGAGCTCAGTTATCTCGGCTCCTGTAAGAGATATCAAAAAGTGGTACACTGATAAAATGCTTATCATAATATCACAAACATTTTATCAGTTGACACACTTTTGATATCTATTATAGGAGACGAGATAATTGAGCTCAAACTTGACTGTGTGGGGCCCTTCTATTACAGTTATTTTTTTGAAAATTCAGAATTTTCCGATTTCTAGAATCTAATGATCTAAGAGATCCGGATCTAAGGATCTAAGGATCTAAGAATCTAAGGATCTAAGGATCTAGGAATCTAAGAATCAAAAAATCTGAGAATTCAAATTTCAAAATCACCTATACTCATTCCCATAGTAGTATGCGGACACAAAAAACAGGTCCATCTCGTCGTTATCCAATTCTTTCATCTTGTATGTATACGCGTTTCGTACGCGTCTCAACACAGGCAACGGGTGAATAAAAATGTGTAGGAATACCAGAAAAATGATAAAAAGATAAAAGGGGCGACACTTGAGCATTATGGTCCCGTAGAGTTGAACATTCCGACGATATAAGTCCATGAGGAGTGTGGAGATGGGCATTTTTTGGGCGGGAATTTTTGAAAAATCGAAAATTCCGATTCAAAGAAAATGGAATCTGAAGTCGTAAGGTCCAATATAGCGATTTTTTGTAGTTCGAAAAATTCGAAATTCGGAATATCGATTTTTTTAAAAAATTTTCGGGAATTCGGAGCTTCGGAAGTTGATATATATATATAAACTTAGATATAGTTCAGAATAAAGTATTATTTTTCCGCAAAATAAAAATCGATTTTTTAAAAAGCAATTTGATCTACAAGAATCTATAGAACTGGGGAGAACAAAAAGGAAAAAAGAGGAACACTTTGACTGGTTTAGACTATTTTTTAATCTTTTCCGAGGATCTTTTTTTCTTGTTTTCATGGTTTTTCAACGATTTATTCCATTTACTTGACAATTGTTTCGTTTTTTGTATGTGAAAATGGAAATGCGCTCTATTGGACACCGAATTTTCGTTTCGCGGGAGTTTGGAAAAACCCCAATGTTTTGAATTTAAAATGCGGGTGTCCCAGAGGAAGGAAAACAAGGCGTTTCTGCCTAAGCCTATAATAAAAAAAAACAAAAAATTTAGAAAAAAAATTTCAGCAAAAAATTTGCAATTTTCACTGATTTCCGCCGATTCCAGCACTTAAAAATTTCAGCCAGAAAAGGCGCCACGCGCCTTTAAAGTTTCGAGATATTCCAAAATTTTATTTATTTACAGCCAATTTTCCCCGATTTTCCGGCTATTTTTTTAGCGTTTTTTTCAACGATTTTTCGATATTTTCACTGAAAAAAATCTCGACAAATCGAGAAAAGTTACGGAAAATTATTTAAATTTTCCGATTTTTGAAAAATCGATTTCCAGCGATTTTCGCTGATTATTCTTGGGAAATAGCTGAAAAATCTGAGCACAAAGCGAGAAAATAAATTGTGTAACAAATTTTGAATATTTTCAGTTTACTGTAGTTTTCGTTTCAAGACCTGAAAAGTCGCAAAACTATCGATTTTTTGCCGGTTTTCGATCTGCCACGCGGCACTGTTTTTGCAGTCTTTGCAGTTTGCGGAATTGTGTGTTGGAGGAAAAACAATAATTTTTTAACCGTTTTTCCAAATTTTCGGTCAATTTCCGCTTATTTTATCAGCGATTTTTACTTAAATTTTCTAGAATTTTTCCCATTTTCGGCCAAAAAAATGTCTACTAAATCCGCCGAACTAATAACATCTAATCAGCCGGCACGGTTCAGCGACGATCCAGAAGTGATCGCTGAGCGAAAATCGATTGATTACTCGAAAAAGGTGACGATCGACGAGGCGAAAAATGGGAAAAGTCGGTTGAGAAAATCGATTTTTCTAGTAGAAAATTTGAAAATTTTCAGTTTCCCGCCCGATTCGCGTCTACGCCGACGGCATCTACGACATGTTTCATCATGGACATGCGAAACAGTTTTTGCAAATCAAACAATCGTTTCCGAGTGTTTATTTGATTGTTGGAGGTGTGAATCGATAAATAGTAAAAAAAAAATCGCAAAAAGCCTATTGTGGGGTGTTTTTTGGAAATTTTGAAGTCAAAAAATCACACTTTCCCCGCGAAATTTCGAGTTTTTGAGCCAAAAATTTGAATTTTCATGTAGAAATCATCCGGATTTTTCTAGGCCACGGCCACCACTATCTTCGAGGCCAATTTTCGGGATTTCCTAGTGCTTAAAACCGGAAAAAAAGCGGCGAAAAAAGCTATCATGGTGGTCGCGGACTAGGAAATTCTCGGCCATTTTAGACGAATTTTATCTGCCCGAAAATTGAGATTTTTGTACTCAAAAACTTCGAAATTTCTATTTTTTTGAGACGAAAAGTCCCGAAAAATACGATTTTCCGGACCGAGTTTATCGATTTTTTTCAATTTTTCGACCTGAAATTCATAATTTTCCGGTCCGAATTTTTATCGATTTTTCCCCATTTTTCCAGTGAATTCCGACGAGGAAACGCTGAAATACAAGGGACGAACAGTGCAATCGGAAGACGAGCGATACGAAGCGATTCGCCACTGTCGATATGTGGATGAGGTCTATCGAGGCTCTCCGTGGACGTTTCCCATTGAGTTTTTGAAGGAATTGAAGGTAGAAAACTCTAATTTTGGCCTGAAATTTGCGACTTTTCGAAGAATTTGAAGGGGGAAAATGGCTGAAATTCAATTTTTTAGCTGAAAAATCCCTTTAAAATCCCAATTTTCCACCGAAAAGTCGCAGATTTTCGACCTAAAAATCGTGAATTTTTGATCGATTTTTTCATAGTTTTCGGTTCAAAATCCCCCGGGAAATTATCAATTCTCTCGCATAATTTTCGACCTAAAAATCCCCCGGAAAATTATTGATTTTCTCCAGGTCGACTTCATTTCGCACGACGCCCTGCCTTATCAGGGACCACTCGGCGAGGATATCTACGAGAAGTACAAAACGGCGGGCATGTTCCTGGAGACGCAGCGAACTGAGGGAATCTCGACGAGCGATTCGATTTGTCGAATTATCAGAGACTACGATACGTACGCGAGACGAAACTTGAATCGAGGATATACGGCGAAAGAGCTCAATGTTGGATTTTTGACGGTGAGCTAGCAAGTGCGCTCTGACGCACTATTGGCTACGTGCCACTTTTTGAATTTTCAAAAAAAAACGCGTTTTAAGCGTTGCTGAGTCGCTAGTTATCGACCGTTACGCAGACACGCGACGCGCCCAAACTTGGCTCGGCGCCAAATTTCTAAATTTTCAGATTTTAAAGGCGCAAAAATTTAAAGGCGCAAAAATGGATTACTGTAGGAATTATATAAAATTTTTTTGCAGACCAGCAAGTACCGTATCCAGGATACTGTAGACGAGTTTGTCGAGTTTCTGCACGTCTGGAAAGCCAACGCCGAGCACTACATCGACAGCTTCCTTCAGACGTTTGCTCGGGACATTGTGGCTCCGCCCACTGGACGTCGTCAAGTTGAAGAGAAGCAGGAATAATTAATTTTTATCTCTTTTCCTTTTATTTTTTTGTTTGAAAATCTCATTTAAAATGACCTGTAAATCAATGAATCAATGTCTTTAATTTTATAGTTTTTTTTTCGAAAAAAAATCAGAGAAATGCACAAATATCTGGCTAAAAAATTGGAGAAGATTATAGGGTTTATCACTTTAACTCAAAATTTTTGATTTTTGAGATTTTTGAGGTCATGACAACCTCAAAATGCTTTGTTGAGGCTCAAAACAAGTTCAGAGCTAACAAAAACCTTCAAAAAAGCACTAAAAACTATTTGGGCCTCGAAGGATTCGAACTTTTGGGTTTTCTGCTCCAAAACCATCTCTCTTACCCACTGCGCCATCGAACGCGTGCACCAAACCAATCACTGGTAAGGAGCCTTTTATGGGGAGAACACAAAAAATTATTTCTAGGAATCCAGGATTTCGAGATTGAGATTTTCTTTTTTAAAAATGGCAAAAAAAATCCGAAAGTCAAATTTTCAAAACCATCAAAATCTCGGGTTTGTGGGATTCTATGAATCCAAGACCTTGAGATTGAAGTTTGGAAAGTTAAAAAAAACCCAAAAGAGACAAATGATTTGCCGATATTTTTGCCGTTTAACGACGCTTTGAAACACATTTTTGACTCAAAAACTCGAATCTTTCAGATTTTTGAGCCCCGACAGCCCACAAATAGACACTATAGGTCTGAAAATGGGTCCTACCCCGTAAAAAGTACCCAAAAACTTATAAAACACCATCTGGACCTCGAAGGAATCGAACTTTTGGGTCCATCGGCTCCAAGACCATCTCTTTTACCCCCTGCGCCACCGAGGCACCGCGCGCTTTGAGCTACCGCGGCGCCCAAAAGGGGGGGGCCCAAGCGCGCGGTGATGGCGCAGTGGGTAAGAGGGTTGACTTTGGAGCAGAAGACCCAAAAGTTCGATTCCTTTGGAGACCAAATAGTTTTTTATAATGACTTTGACAGTTTTCAACATTTTCTGTCTATTTTTCAAGTTTTCGTCAGCTCCTAGCAGAGATATCGAAAAATTGCCAACTAATAAAATGTTTCGAACAAAATTTCACACAATTTATCAGTTGACAACTTTTTTATAGCTCTGCTGTGACATGAGATAATTTAGGAAACACCGACACTAACTTTGACTCAATTTTTCTCGATATCTGTGAAAGGTATCAAAAAGTGGTCAACTGATAAATTGTTCATCATAATATCAAAAACATTTTCTTAGTTGACAACTTTTTGATATCTGTTACAGGAATCGACATAAATCGAGTCAAAGTTGACAGCGCGTTTTCCTGGAAGTGTCCTATACTCCAAATAGTCTAAAATGCTATTAAAAACTATTTGGACCTCGAAGGAATCGAACTTTTGGCTCTTCTGCTCCAAGTGCATCCCTCTTACCCACTGCGCCACCGAGGCTCCGCGCGATTTGAACTACCGCGGCGCCCAGAGGGCGCCTAAGCGCGCGGTGATGGCGCAGTGGATACGAGAGCTGACTTTGGAGCAGAAGACCCAAAAATTCGATTCCTTTAGGTTTCAAATTGTTTTTTAGCATTTTCTCAATGTTTTGGAACCCATTTTGAGACTCAAATGTTCGATTTTTTGGATTTTTCGAATTTTTTTTAACATTTTTCAAGTTAAAAAGCTTTTTCAACGTCTGTCTGTTTGTCTGTTTGTCCAGAAGATGTCAAAATTTTCGACTATTTTTTATCGATTCATTTCAAATATCAACTTCAGCGGAAAAATTCATCTGGTGTGTTTTCTAGGTCATTTTGGCATGGTGGCCGAACTTTGGCAAGTTGAGTTTTCTAGGCCACCATTCCAAAATCACCTAGAAAACAGACATGTTAGGGCATTTTTAGGCCATTTTGAAGTGGTGGCCTAGAAAACCAAATTTGCAAAAGTTAGGCCAATACGTCAAAATGACCTAGAAAAACGTTCCAATTAGTTAGAAATTCTATTAAAAAACTATTTGGTTATCGAAGGAATCGAACTTTTGGATCTTCTGCTCCAACACATCCTTCTTACCCACTGTGCCACCACCGCGCGCTTAGGCGCTCCTCTGGGCGCTGCGGCAGCTGAGAGCGCGCGATGTCTGGGTGGCGCAGTGGGTAAGACGGATGTTTTTGGAGCAGAAGACCCAAAAGTTCGATTCCTTTGGGTTCCAAATGGTGTTTTAGCATTTTTCCAATGTTTTGGAATCCATTTTGAAACTCAAATGTTCGATTTTTTTTCATTTTTTGCTTGTCTGTTTGTCCAGAAAATGCCAAGATTTTCGACTATTTTTTACCGATTCATTTCAAAAATCAACTGATTTGAAAGAGCTGAAAAATTGAATATTGAATTTTTAAAAAAAAATTAAAATTAAAGGGACACAAAAATGTTGGATGGGATGGAATTTCAATTGGGAGACAATGGGATTTTTTTGGTTTTTAAGAAATTTGAAAAAAAAAAGTTTTTCAAGAAAAATCGACACGAAAAGAGAAGCGAGAAAGGCAGAAAACAAAAAAATGCGGATGTTGAAAAAAAGGGGCGGGGCGGGGACTATATACAACTAAGTTAGGCTGGCTGGCGGGAGTTTGAAAAATTCAAAAATTTCAAAAAAAAATTTTTCTCTGAAATTTTTTTCGATGTTTAAAAAAATAGGAAGTTGAAAAATTATGTTCCTATGGAGAGAGACTAGAAAAGTACACTGATTTTTGAAATTTTGGGATTTTTTGAAAAAAACTTTTTTTTTTTGATTTAGTTCAGAGAAGTTTTGGGATTAAAACCGAAACAAAAAAAGTGAAAAAAGCGAATGGGGAAATTTTTTTAGCATGAAAAAAAATGGAAAAATTTTCACTGGGAAAATAAGAAAAAAAGTTAAAAATTAGAGAAAATTTTAATTAAAAAAAGAAAGACAGGATGTGAAGTTTGGATACTTGAAGTTATGAATTGGCTGCCATAAGTCGAGCCTGAATTTTCTTTTTTTTTAATTTTGAAAAAATTTAAATCGCCATAAAATTTGTTCTAGAACGCCTAGAAAACCAAATTTAGGCTCATTCGAAAGCTCAAAATCTCAAAATTCGGAAATTTTTAAAAATTCCAAAAAAAGTCTACCTTTGCACACTCGGGACACAGAATCTCATGACCGTCGGTGATGAATCCTTTGCCTACGAGCGAAGTCGTGCACTGCGCGCAAATGAAGCAGTCGTTGTGCCAGTGTCGGTCTTCGAATGAGATGAATTTCGCGCCACCGATTCCTGGAAAAATTTTAATTTTATAAGATTTTTTTTAACGAAAAATTGTTTTAAAACATCCTAAAAATGCCTAAAACCCTATACAATTACACTCCAAATAGCTAGAAATTCTATAAAAACTATTTGGTCCTCGACGGAATCGAACTTTTGAGCTTCTGCTCCAAAAACATCCGTCTTACCCACTGCGCCACCTAGACATCGCGCGCTCTGAGCTACCGCAGCGCCCAGAGGAGCGCATAAGCGCGCGGTGGTGGCACAGTGGGTAAGAGAGGTGNGNTTGGAGCAGNANAGCCNAAAGTTCGATTCCTTCGAGAACCAAATAGTTTTTTATAGAATTTCTAGCTATTTGGAAGGTATTTCAAAGCTTGAAACTACCTAAAAGTCAGAAATTTTCAAATTTCTAGAAAAAAAGACTCTAAATATATTTTTTGCCGTCTCTGTCGCTTTAAAACATATTTTTACTCAAAATCTTGGATTTTAGAAGTCACAGCAACAAGGAATACCGTAAAACCTCAAATAGAACGACACCCGGATCGTCCACTTTGAGCCTATATATCTCACTTCTTTTGAAAGATATCAAAAAGTG